TGTGATATTCGTGTTCAGGAGGTCAGACTACCCCTGGAACAAGTTTTCAGCGAATTTGGTGATTAGGGTATTTTGGCGCCGGCGCCTGTGGCGCGGGCGCCAGGAGGTTTCGTGCCGAGCGGATGTGATATTCATGTTCAGGAGGTCAAACTACCCCAGGAACAAATTTTTAGCCAATTTTGCCACGCAGAAAAAGTCGGTCAAAAACTGGCCTGTTTTTGGAAGGCTGGGGCAGTAAAGGGTAAATAGTGCCCAATTTTTGTCATCAGAAGAATGTTGAGTCATGGGCAAAAGACGAGATGTCAGGCCAAGGTACAGCATCGCTAAGAGAGTCCTATCTGTGCGTGTACTTGGCAAAGATGAGAGGGTCGTATGCTGGTTTGAGAGGAATTTTTCCGTGAGTGAGGGAATTTCAGTGGTTGCTGATTTTTTTTTTCGTTTCACGTGCACTGTATACATGTACCCTGATATCGCTTTTCTAATACACGGAGTTACCTCACTAAGCTAGCTCTATGGGGAAACTGTGCCTTCATTTCTTACGGTTCGCGCATCGAGCTGGGCGGATGGGTCCGCAACAGCACTAGCGTGCCATTTTGTCCCCTAAAAGTGCACGGGAGCAGGGCGGTAGGGTAGCGGTATCCGTCGGCTCTCTCCACGGTTCGCTCGCGATCCTCAAGGTGTAGCACTTGCATGGGTACAGAAGTCCCGCTGCGAAACAGGTACTCGACGGCAGAGAACAATCAGAAGTGGGAGAGCCCCGACAAAGAGCATTTGGCTCAGGCTTATCGCTGTTGGGATTCCCCAACAGGGAGAGGGTCGTATTTGGTCGCTGGGATAGGAGGTTCGTGCTTGGGCTGAGAAAATTTTTTATAGCTGATTTTTCTTGTTTCACGTCTATAGGGGAAGGGGTCGTATTCGTTCGTGGTCGGGAGGAGGAGGGGATCGTATTTGCCTTCTACTCTCCCGCTCTACGGCAGATTTTTTTGGGGAAAAGTAGGAAAATTTTTGCGAAATTGTGGAAAACAGGTAGGCAGAATCATTTTGGGTACAGCGATCGGCATAATTTTCCACCTGAGGTTTTCTCAAGATGTTAATTTTGTTATTGATATTTTGGCTATGGAATGAATAGCACTTTTGCTGGGCTTTTTCAAAGAATGAATTGATTGATTCCTCTCTCTCTCTCTCTCTCTCTCTCTCTCTCTCTCTCTCTCTCTCTCTCTCTCTCATTCACCTTGTTCTCCAGAAGGATTAAATAACGAACTTTCAGTCGCAACGTTGAGGAACTTCGACGAATTGGGCGATAAGACGAAAGACATTGCTGTACTCAGAGAGTTTGTGAACTCCCATTTCAATCCTCCCGGATCTGAGCTCGTGGAGTGGTTCCCTCGAGATTGGGTTGACTTCCCTTCGACTTTTTTAAACATACACGATTACCACCATCGACGGTGGGCGCTCCATTTACACCGAATTTGGAGAGATCTTTGCAGACGGGTGAGTCATTTCATGCCTATATTTCAACCTAAGAGTTTATTACCTTCAACGTTTTTATCCAACGTTCCCATCTCGAAAGTTGAAACTGTCGTGGAAGTTGCTTGAAAAGCACGTTTTGCGTTCACTTGATGTACAACCACCCTCTTTGAACATGGTAATCCTGTCCGCAAGCATGGAGGGAGCACTTCTTTAGTAGATCAAAAATACGTGACACGCTAGCGACGAGACCCACTGGCCATTCGCCACGATCGTGGGCTTCAGGGAATATTTTTCAGTTCTCCATTCACCCGTGGACTTCACTGATAGTAATTGTGAGTCGTTTAGTGGGTGAAAAGGCTGCTCGTCTGCGCTTTTCACCTAGATAGTGTACCTTTCCCTATCCTGTGCTCACCTTTAGAAGAACGCAGACGATCGGAGATGCCGCGGGCTAGCTTCGTAGCCTGCCCCCCCCCCTCCCCGCAAGTAGCGCCCGACACATTCTGTGACGCCTCAAACTGATTTTCCAAAGTCAGTTGTGTTCGTTATTTTCTGAAGGTATTTCTTTGAAGGTTCGCGATGACGTACGTAGACATCAGGATCACTATTCTCTTTTATATGTACCTCATCCTTTCATTATACCTGGTGGACGGTTCAGAGAATTCTATTACTGGTGAGTTTCTCCTGACTTGCTATATTTTCAGTGCTCTTAATAACTTATCAGAGTACACAGTTGCATGTGAACTTGAGCATGTACTTTCAGGGATTCGTTTTGGATATTGAAAGGCCTTATTTTCTCAGAAATGTACGAAACAGCGAGAGGAATCATTAAAAACCTTGCATTTATGGTCGATAAGTAAGAGGCTTATCAAATTTTGATACTGCCTTTGAAATGATTCATTCAATTTTACCAAAATCCGATGTTTAGCCATGGATTTGTGCCAAATGGTGGCCGTGTCTACTATCTCACACGTTCGCAGCCACCGCTTTTAATACCAATGGTTTATGACTACTTTCTCGGTACCGGTGATTTGGATTTCGTTTTGGTGAGTTGCATGGTGCCAGTGAA